TGTGACTATATGTATGTATATAAGTTCTTCATTAATATGGTATGGTATGGTATGCATGACATGCGCAGTAGTGGCCAGGTAAGCCGGAAAGGGATTTGGATCCTCTCCAGAGGTTATGAAAAGGATCCTCCTGCCCTTGGAATCCAACTATTACAAACAGGAGGGTTCCTTTAAAGTTATAATAATTATAACGGTTGGATTTTCATCTAAGTTCAGGAGAGAATCCAAATCCGCTGGAAAGAGATCATTTCCGAATCTCTTCTACTAAATTCACCAAATCATCCAATTCAGACTCTTGAAATTTGATTAACCGACTAAAATTATTATAACTTTTGAAAATGTCTCATAATTATAACCGTTGGATTAAATTTTAAGAATTCGAATTAAATGATTGGATGGAATTGATAGGAGGGATCAGGAGAGAATCCCTAAGCCTTATGCAGGCAGGTCATTCACTCATCACTGCCCATTTCTCGTGAAAGCCTACGTGACAGAGAATTTCATCCCTCTCTCTCCCTTCCTTGCCTATTCCTCTACTCCCTTCGGTTCCGAGTCTCAGACCCTCAAACCTCTCTCTCTCTCTCTCTCTCTCTCTCTCTCTCTCTCTCTCTCTCTACTCTGTATTCTTTAGTCTTTACTCTTTCTCCCATTTCTCACAAAAGCCTTTGTCTCTGGAGTCTGGACTCATTTCATGTTTGGTTGTGCAATCATGGCTTCTCTTTCTGTAAGTAAAATGATATGATATGGGCACTATCCATGTACAAAATCACAACCCATGTTCCATATATAATTCAATCGTCTTCTTACCTCTTTTGTTTGCTTCCTCTTGTTTTTTTCTCTGCACTCTACTGTAGCAGTAGCTCTTCCTTTCATTTGGGTATTCAATCAGTTGCAACCCTGAAAAAAAAAGGCCCCTTGATTGGTGTGCTTTCCTTTTTACTTGTTCATCTTAAACTTGAGGGATACCCCTACAAATTAAGGGATTGGGTTTGCTCTCCGATGCAATGCTGAAATGGGTTTTCTCAAAAAAGTTGACAGCTGATTTGGGGTCATGGTTTTTCATGCGAGTGCCTTCAATGGTTTTCTGGGTTTGATTCTCTGAGCAAGAAGAAGAAAAACTGACATTTGGTTGCAAGTTCAGAAGCTGAAAACTAAATCATTGAAGAAAAAAAAGTTGGGTTTTGGAGGTTGAAGGGTTTTATGTATGCCCTTGTCACTGTTTTGGAGTTTGGAGAAGAAAGTTGAGTTCTTTTCCACAGGGAAGTGTTCCAGACAACCAAAAAATGGTGCTTTTGTGCTTGTTCTGTGTTCTTCTTGTTGGGTTTCTATCCGAGTCCCATCTTGTGGCTGCTCAGCTTTATGATCAAGCTACATTGCTCGCCATTACCGAAGAGCTCGGAGTACTCGGATGGGGTGGCAACAGTTCAGATTACTGCTCTTGGCCCGGCATTGGATGCGGTTTAAACCACTCTATGGTCGAAAAGCTTGATCTTTCGCACCACAACCTCCGAGGTAATGTGACTCTTGTTTCTCAGCTCAAGGCTCTGAAGAGGCTTGACCTCTCTTACAATGATTTCCATGGATCAATTCCTTTAGCTTTTGGAAATTTGTCACAGCTTGAATTTCTTGATTTGTCTTTGAATAAGTTCGGAGGTTCAATTCCGCCGGAGCTGGGTAAACTCAGAAACCTTAGATCATTGAACCTCTCCAATAACTTTCTTGTAGGAAAAATACCTGATGAAATTCAGGGCCTAGAAAAGTTAGAGAATTTTCAAATTTCAAGTAATAAGTTGAGTGGTGTTATCCCTATGTGGGTGGGGAATTTCACCAACTTGAGAGTTTTTACTGCCTATGAGAATGCATTGGAGGGTAAAATCCCAGATAATCTAGGGTCGCTTTCTGAGCTCGAATCATTGAATCTGCATTCTAACCAGCTAGAAGGCCCAATTCCCAAAAGCATTTTTGCTTCAGGGAAGCTGGAGTTTTTGGTTCTGACCCAGAACAGACTAAGTGGGGATATTCCTGAAGAAATTGGAAACTGCAGTAGCCTTTCGAGTATTCGAATTGGTAACAATGATCTTGTAGGTAGCATTCCTCATGCAATTGGGAATGTTAGTAGCCTTACATACTTTGAGGCTGACAATAACAATCTTTCTGGTGAGATTGCTCCAGAGTTTTCTAAGTGTTCCAATCTCACCCTCTTAAATTTAGCCTCAAATGGATTTACCGGGAGAATTCCTCCGGAGCTTGGCCAGCTCATGAATCTGCAGGAATTAATTCTCTCCGACAACAGTCTGTTTGGAGATATTCCGAAATCAATTCTCGATTGCAAGAATCTTAACAAGCTTGATCTGACCAATAATAGAATCAATGGTACCATACCAAGTGATATCTGCAACATGTCGAGATTGCAATACTTGCTGTTGGGTCAGAATTCGATACGGGGTGAAATACCTCATGAGATTGCAAACTGTGTTAAACTGCTTGAGTTGCAGATGGGAAGAAACTATTTCACTGGCAGTATCCCTCCGGAAATTGGTCATATCAAAAACTTACAGATTGCCTTAAACTTAAGCTTCAATCATCTCCATGGACCTATTCCTGCAGATTTAGGGAAACTTGATAAGCTGGTTTCTCTTGATGTCTCCAACAATCAGCTGTCTGATGTCATTCCAACTGCACTCAAGGGCATGTTAAGCTTGATAGAGGTTAATTTCTCAAACAATCTGTTCACTGGCCAGATACCAACATTCGTGCCATTCCAGAAGAGTCCGAATACAAGTTTTATTGGGAATAAAGGGCTTTGTGGAGAACCACTGAGCTCCTTATGTGCAAATGCTAATGGTGGTGACCGTGCAAGTTACCATCACAGGGTTTCTTACAGGATTGTACTGGCAGTTATCGGTTCTGGTTTGGCAGTTTTTATATCGGTAACCATTGTTGTCCTGCTGTTTATGCTCAGAGAGAGACAGGAGAAGGCAGAAAAAGCTGCAGGGACTGAAGACGAGGCAGCCAACAACCTACCGGCGATAGCAGCAGGCAATATCTTTGTTGAGAATCTCAAACAAGCAATAGATCTTGATTGTGCTGTTAAAGCAACCATGAAGGATTCAAACAAGATCAGTACTGGGACTTTTAGCACAGTTTACAAGGCTGTTATGCCATCGGGGCTGATTATATCAGTGAAGAGACTGAAATCTATGGACAGGACAATCATTCATCACCAGAACAAGATGATTCGAGAGCTCGAAAGGTTGAGCAAACTCTGTCATGACAACCTAGTGCGTCCTATCGGATTTGTTATTTACGAGGATGTTGCTCTTTTGCTGCATCATTACTTACCCTATGGGACATTATGTCAGCTTCTTCATGAATCCACCAAGCTGCCCGAATATGAACCTGACTGGCCCAAAAGACTCTCTATTGCCATTGGAGTAGCAGAAGGATTGACTTTCCTTCACCATGTGGCTATTATCCACCTCGATATTTCTACTGGTAATGTTCTTTTGGATGCTAACTTCAAGCCTTTGGTCGGAGAGATTGAGATCTCGAAGCTCTTGGATCCAACCAGAGGCACAGCCAGTATCAGTGCAGTTGCAGGCTCCTTTGGCTACATTCCTCCGGGTATATTTTTTGGTACAGTTCATTCTTCATTCCTTTCACTTGGTAGTTTTGTTAGTGTTCTAATCTAGTTTAGTGTTTTTCCTCTCTTCTGTCATCAGAATATGCATATACAATGCAAGTTACAGCTCCTGGGAACGTCTATAGCTACGGTGTTGTTTTGCTTGAGATCCTTACAACCAAATTACCAGTAGATGAAGCCTTTGATGAGGGGGTAGATTTGGTGAAGTGGGTGCATAATGCTCCCGCAAGAGGCGAAACCCCAGAGCAGATTCTCGATGAAAGGCTCAGCACAGTGTCCTTCGGTTGGAGGAAAGAAATGCTTGCAGCACTGAAGATTGCATTGCTCTGCACTGACAGCATACCCGCCAAACGTCCAAAAATGAAGAAGGTAGTGGAAATGCTGCAAGAAATAAAGAAACACTGATGGATAGTGAGTCATTGAGTCTTCTATGCCCTGAACCCATCAATCAGATCATCCATATTCTTGCTCGGGTGTCCGAGAAATGAAGCGAAAAGGCGGTAGTAATCGATTTGAGTTGAAACAGGAAGAGGGGGTGGATGAATGCAGGGAAAGTCCTCCCATTGGAAAGGATTAGTCTAAGTTTCTGTTGCATATTAGATCCAAATCATAATGCTCTAGTTCCTGGTTTTTGAGATTTAAATGTGAAGGTTCATGTCTATGGCTTCTCCTTTAATCAAGTTCACACCTTTTTGCAAGAAAAACTAACCCAAATCTGATTCAAATCACGCAGATCACCATCATTTTTAAACCCTAAATTAGTAAATTGTGAATGCATCAGATCCAAGCTCTGGTATGTGGGAGTTCTCCATCCACTTAAGCTTGTTGAGGGCATCGAGGCTATCTGTTTCTAGTTAAGGGATAAATAATTGGAAATTGACTGAAATGAGGATTTTACAAGCCACAAATCGGTTAAGGGTTGGTTTGGTATTGTTGAATTTTTTTTTAAAAGCAGCTTTTTAAAAAATGATAGTGACTAAAATTGTGTTTGGTAAAGTAAAAAAAAAAAAAAAAAAACTTTTCTCAAAATTATGAGTCAAAATCAATAGGAAGCAATAGGAAGCAAAAGCAGCTCTACCATGCTTCTAAAAACATCGTTTTTTCTTCATTTTCCATTGCACAGCAACCCCAAACTAATCCTAAATGATACAAAGATAAATAACGGTGACATATTGAGGTTTTTCAGAGGTTTTCGGATGACTATCTACCGAAAGGAACTCTGGGTTCAAACCTTCAATTGAAATAAGAAAAAAATTTCCAAAAACTCATTTTCACATTTTGCACACCCGCATTAATTCATGTCCTTTAATTTGGTCAATCAAAAGGCTATAAATGAGTAGAGATGCACAGGCGAAGAGAATGGGGTGTGCAAATCATTCATTTCCCTTCAAATATAATGCTCGATACATAATCGACGGGTATGTTGCTAACATACTGAATTAAGAAACAAAAATTGAGAAATCTTGAAAGAAATGAATATTTGCCAACCCGAATCTCAATGCCGCTAAAGGCTGCGTTTATTACACACCTTGCCCGATTGGGCTATTTCGAGTTAGTACAGTACAAGTTGTATAAAACATGGCGCTATTTAACAAGCGCCATCTATCATTCACGTCATCTGTAGCCATGCTGAGAACCCCGCCTGGGTTCTTCAGCGCGCCTCGTACTGAACAACTGCAGAAACAACCATTAGTCATTATCAATCTTTGAATACCGTCATAGAGAGCGAGAGATGATTTACCTAACCAACAAAAACAAAAATACACGCACACAAGACCAGCAGAAGGAACTTTGGACTGACAAGTCATACACCATCGTAAGGCTAGCAAGAACGCATTCAACACTGCTACATGCTTCCAATTCCATTCCAAAAGGTTTCGGAAATACATAATTACGTGTATGTAATAGAGTTATGCACGTTTCAGAATTATCGGATTCGGAATATTAAATACGTTCCAATTCCCATCCAATTTTTTTCATATTTCTTTGGATTTCGGTTTTGGAATTGAAAAAAGTCAAATAACTGGCTGCAACTCTTTACCAAACTTTGGTCTGGCATTCTCACTGATTAAGTTCAGTGATTGAGTCAAATAGTAGTATTGGTGCATCTTGGTGTAGGCTAATCACAATCTGTTAAATCCTCAGAGCCATAACCCAAAAAGCTAACCGAAAGCTTATTTCACTCCGGTCAACATCACCATTTGGCATCAATATAACTATTTTCTACAGTGCCGGTGCTGCCTATCCCCTTTACTTACAAGTAATTTCTGTTGCTATGGTGTAATAAGTCTTTTGATTAGTACTACAAAGTAACAGCTACTAATTATTAAAAGATGAAGAACGCATTTCTACACCCTATACTAAAAGCTTGGCAACCGAACGAACAAAGAGTGGACCCCAATTTTAAGTTCTAATAAGAACCTAGTGATATCATATGAACTGAGAAAATAACCAAAGGATAGGACACACAGACCCCCGTGACACCTGATCAAACCTAAATTGGGACTATGGGATCAGAGTAGTAGTCAAGCAAATAATTGGGTGGAAATGCAATGATTAACCCTTCTTAAGGATGGTAAGGATTCAGTTCAGCTGTAACACTTGACTTATGGATTTGCTCAACTGCCAAACATTCCGTCACATAATCTTAATCGAAACAAACTAAATAATGACAGTGCAGAAAACACAAATTCCCTACCCAAAACCAAGTCCTCCATTTGCAACAAACTAGAACTAACGCCACACTCCGAAATTGGAAAAGTGACACAAACCCTAGAAACAAAAATCAGTAAGCTAAAAAATTCGACTCCTTCTACCGTATCCACAATTGTCAATCCGAAATCGATTACTGAGAATTGTTTATCCAGTCCCCAAATAAATTCAAAGAATCACCTTTTGGAGAAATCAATCAATATCGCAACAATTAAAGCATATACGGATATAGGGACTTACTGCGGCGAGTACGCTTCTTGTATAAGATACGGTAACCGCACTCGCGGCACTGAATCACGTCATTGGACTTCAACTGAACCTCCATCCCACAATCTACAACAACATAAAAACCCTAATTTAATCTTAAAAATTGAAATTCTTCTGTACGTAATTCCTCAAGAAGAAGAAGAACGAAGAAATGGAAAACCAATACCTCCACAGATGTAGTAGACGGCCTCTGGCGGCGGCGGATCCATGGGAGCAGCTCGAATAGGGCTGTTAATTTCAAGGGTTTTGCTGTTTCAATTTCAGGGAAATAATAGCGGGGATTCGTCCTTTTAAATCTACAGACCCTTGTGTCAGAGAGATCTCCATTTTTCTAAAAAAATAGAATATTCTGGATTGGTTTTAATAAAATTGTATGGTTAAAATTAAGGGAACTTTAACGAAAAGTTTCCGGTACTGTTTACTTTAACGAAAAATCACATTTTTACACTAAAAAGTCAATTTTTGTACTATTCACTTTACCCTTTATTTTGTCCTTATCATTAAACTTCAAAGTTTTTAAGCTCTTTTCATTAGTTTTCCTTAAAATTAAATTAGACCATCACACAATTTTAACCACATAATTTCATTAAAAACCAATCTAACAGTTAAAATGATGTTCCTATGTTTTTTAGAAAAATGAAGATCCTTTTTATCTCTTGTTAAGGGATTCCTTTAAACATAAATCCTTTTATTTGGAAGTGTAAACGATGGGCTGAAATGGATTCGGGTTTTTAGCCCAAGGTCCATGGGTTCCCCATAAGTTTCAACAATAACCCCAATTTCCTATTCAAACCTTAGTAATACCCCACATCTGAATAAATTATAAGATACGAAATAAATTACAAACGTAACATCACTTCAGAGAACTTAAATTTGATATGCATCGTAATATGTGTTTTTTAAACTTGAACCTTCTCTATTTAGTACTCATCTGATTTTTTAAATGAGGCAGTGAATTTTAACATCTTGAACTAATCATTCTCAGTAGTAATTTGAAAAATAAGTATCACACATATCACATCTTAACACACTTCAAATTCATATGGTTGTGTTCTTTTGAATCTTGAGCAAATCATGATTTCATGAGACATTTGAAGATTGTAGCCACAACAATTCTCAAATATACGACCCCACATCATTCTCATATAGATAATGGTAATTAAGAATATCCTGTTTTATTTATCTTAACCATAAGATATTAACATTATTAAGAATAATTATTCACCCTCTTCGACATACATGCAACATATTGTTTTTCTCCAACTAGTTTGCCTATTGAACCTAGACCATGGGATCTCCAATTAGCTAGGTTAGGTTTCCCTCATGTGTTAACTCATTGAATTGGCTTCAAACCTAGTCCCTTTGATGTAAATGTCACTTGATCCTTTGGTAGGCGTTTAGTCCAATGATCGAAAATGTTCTCTTTAGATTTAATACAGTCAATTAATGGAAATAGTTTCTCTTCTTATTAACTGTCTAATAATTATGTGTCGTCACCTTATATGTCTCAACTTGCTATTGTATTCAACATTTTTGGCTCGACCTTGTGCAGCCATGCTGTCACAATGTATATGTACTGCAATTACAGGCTTAGGCCATACTTCGTCTTCCAAAAAATGTTTTAAGTTATTCTGCTTCATTTGCAGCTGTATCTAAGGCTATCAACTCAAATTGCATTGTTGAACATGTTATACATGTTTGCTTAGATGATTTCCATGACATAGCTGCTCCACCAAGTGTAAATACATATCCACTTGTGGACTTACTATATGTGCTCACTAAATTCCAATTTGCACCACTATATCCTTCTAATCCAGTAAGATATCTTAATACCCTTATTCAAGCATTCCAATGATCTCTTACCGGATTACTTGAATACCTGTGAAAGTTCTAGGATGGTATCAATCCAACCTGGAAAAGAGAATAGAGAGAGAGGGAAAAAAGTAGGGGGGTTGAATAGGCTCTAACTTAAAAATCCAACTCCAATTCAATTTAATCTTCACATCCACATCTCATACCAAATGTGCACAAAGGATGTAGGATTTGACGAGGCAAAACCACCAGGCTCCCAAGTTAGGACAAACATTAAAGGCCAGTTTGGTGGACTAGATGAGATTGGATCTTAGGAATAAGATTAGTTTGGAAAGGATTGGTTAGGCTTTGAGTTCGAGTCCATTGTTTGGTGAAACTCTGAGCTGAATTGGACTTAAATCCAGTCCATTGCTTAGTACAAGACTGGTTTGGACTTAAAATATTTATTTATGTTTTTAAAGTTCCATTTATTCAACACTGCATGTAATTAATCCAAACAAATAAAAGAACCACAAATTTGATAATAAGAAAGTCATATGAAGATGCATCCACAAAGTCATCCAGGAAAGTATGAGTCCAAATTAAAATGCCAACCTTAACAAAGTTAAAATTCTTAAAATTCCAACTAGAGATTATAACAGTCTCCTAAAAATGCAATCTCAATAATTATTTACATGATGGGAAGAATGTGTAGAAAAATACAAACTTACTCTTCTATAGATACTGAACCATACATCCTCAACCTTCCGCGAGTGCGAAGCAACTCACACAATATACCGAAGGTTCTTCTATACATTCAAGGCTCGTTCACACACATCATATCACTATGATTTATAAATCAATCTATCACTCTCAAACGAGTATCTGTCTAGAAAGAGTACGATTTTTAAGATAGAAATTTTCACAGTACTACGTCGTCATAGCATATATGACAGCTAACAATATCATTGACGCACAGAAATGTAGTTTCTTTCTAACTCTATTGCAATTAGAGTTATCACAATCTTCCACCTTCTCTTCCGATCCATGTCTAAAAGGAATACAAACAAGAACAATCAAATCATGACGAACACAAGTGAAAACCGGTAGAGGGCCAGTCCATCAACATGATTATGCGAGTTTGTACTTATATAGTAGTCTCTGCTATTGGTAGTTTTAAGTCTGTTTATAGTTGATGGTTTAAACAAGCCTGTTACCTTTTTAACTTTCCATCCCCAACCTCACAACTCCCCAACCGTCGAGGATGTAGCATGGTGTAGGGTGCTTCACATCTTGAGTTTGCGTCTGATACCAAACTCCAGTGTTTATAGTGGAGCGACTAATAATTTTTGACAGTTTTTCAGTGACCCTCTAAGGTTTCGGCTGAACATACCACCGAATACATTTGATTGGTGAAGGCCAACAAAATTGAATTCGGAAATGATTTTCACAAGCCCATTTTCATCTTTTGTACACTACGGTCGATTCTACTTTGAATTATTCAACCTAAAGAGAATGTATAGGGGGAGAAAATGGGGGCGGAAAAAAATGAATTAGAAACCAAAATTGAGAATCTTTGAAAGAAATTGAATATTTGTCAAACCATATCTCAGTTAAATGCTCCAAAGAGACGTCTCAATGTTCAAATCGTTGTCAAACGTTATATTTACCTATCAATATGTGCGCTTGTTATGCCACTAAGGCTGCGTTTGTTAAACCAGATTACACTGCCGGAGTAAAGTCTCGTTATTGAAGAAAGGGGGCCTAATTAAGCGACATCTTCGTTTCACGTCATCTGCTGCCATGCCGAGAGCTCCGTGTGCGTTTCTTCAGCGCGCCTCAAGCTGAATAACTACAGAAACAACCATGATTCGTTATCAATCTCAGAATATTGCCATAGAGAGAACAATAGATGATTGGGCGACCTCAACCACCAATTTTGTGTTTCCATTTAATACAAACAACAGCTTATCTTTATATGCCAAGATTCAAAGGTTTCTCAACATATCATTTGGCTTGTTCTTCCTTGTAGGGTTCGAGGAGAATGAAAAGAGAGAAGAAGGATAAGAGGGAGAAGGAGAAGTCATCATAGAAAATTGAGGCAAAAAAGTTTAGCACAATAAAGGCATAATTCTTATCATTTTGTTTAGCTTAAAATATTAAAAATAAATAAAATTATTTTGCAACCACAGGATTCAAATAGAAGGCTACGATCCAAAGATTAGGTAAGATTAAGAGAGAAGGCAAACGGCAAACGGCACACACACAACACCAACAGTAGGAACGTTGGACCGACTCACAAGTTACATGCTATCAAAAGGCTACCGAGAACAGCAGATAGTTCAACAAAATTCAAATAATGTGCAACGCTTTACCGGACTTTGATTTGGTATTCTCGCTGATTAAGTTCGGTGATCAAATAGTAATATTGGTTCATCTTGGTGTGGGCTAAGCACCATCTGTTAAGTTCACATAAACCCATATTAAGCCAGAACTCTAAAAACTAACTGAAAGCTTTCTTCACTATGGTCAATATCACCATCTGGCATCAGTATAAATATTTCCTACAGTGCCGCCTATCACTTTACATACAAGTAATTTCCGTTCCTGTGGTGTAATAGGCCCTTTGATTAGTACTGCAAAGATAATAGCTACTAATTACTAAAGATAAAGGACGTATGAAACGTAAAGCATTTCACCATCCTATAACGAAAGGATAGCTACAGACGAACACAGAATGAATTGGACCAAGTTTTTAAGTTTTAATAAAAACCTAGTGAAAATTGAGAAAATAACGATAAGACAACGACCCCTGATTGAACCTAAATTGGGCATATTGGATCAGAGTAGTCAAGCACATAACTGGAAGGATTCACCAATATAGCTACTCGAGTTTGAGTAACTAAAATTTAACACCCAATTTCATAAATGTCACATTTAATAAAAACTTTCAAATATAGCAATAAATTCATGTGAATAGACCTAAATACCCATGAAATCCAAAACACTTGAATAGAGCTACTCTAGACCGTTGTAAAAAGTGTGAGGCGGCGAGGGAAGTTGGTAAATATCGTGGAGCAGTTGCGTGTGTTGTTCAACAATCAACTAATTGAGTACATACTTGAAAATTTGCCGCTCATGTCTGAAACCACAATATTGTCTCAGTAGAATATGCTTTGTACAATAATCTTAGCAAACATGATATTAGTTGAGGTTTTTAACTCATTGAAATCAAATTTCAATTTAATTATGCTTACGAATTTCTCTTAAATTTGCTGGAGAACAAAGATTTAAAACAATAATAGTTTTCACAAGAGGATCGTTCCAATTTAATTCTTGCTTCTATTACCCGCAAATCTAATTAATCTATAATTATAATTAGCAAGTTCTGAATTATTCCAAACCTCACAAACCAATCAAAACTCAACAATGGGAGTGATGGTTTTGCCACCTATATTTATTTGTTTTTCATTTTGAGAATATTTCCGTCTATTTAAGTGAGTTTTTTTTATATATTTGAAAGATTTTATAATAAAAAAAATAACATTTATGAAATTAGGTGTTAAATTTTAGCAATTATTGATAAATACTCCTCGAGTTCTAAGTTCTTTGTAACCACTTAACTTATAAATTCGCTCAGCTGCCAATATTAAAGCTAACGTTCGATCACAAAGCAAGTTTCAAACTAAATGCTGACAGTGAACAAACACGGATTCCAGACGCAAAACCATGTCCACTTTTAGCAACAAACTAGAACTAATGTCATACTACGAAGACGCAAACCCTAATAAAAATAAGTTACTGGGAAATCAAATATTATAACAATTAGTGGATGGGATTTGGTAAAATATGTAGAGAACAAGTATAGGGACTTACTACGACGAGCACGCTTCTTGTATAAAATATGGTAACCGCAGTCGCGGCACTGCATCGAGTCGTTGGGCTTCAACTGAACCTCCAACCCACATTCTGCAACAACAACACAGTCAATAACTCAATATCGGAAATTCTTTTGTATTTCCTCAAGAAGAAGAAGAGGAAGAAAGAAAAAGGAAAATCAATACTTCCACAAATGTAGTAGACTGGCTTTGGCTGAGGATCCATGAGAGCAACTCCAATAGGCTTCTACCGCCTAGGGTTTTGCTGTTTCTGTTTAAGCGGAATAAGTCTCGGGGATACTTCCTTTTTAAATATATACTAGCCTATTGCCATGCAATTTGCCCTTTCATTTTTTTTTAATTTTTTTTTAAAATTTAAAATGTGTGATTCAAAAAATTCAAAAGAAAAGGTCAGCAAAACTACTTCCATAAATGGAGAAAAAAAAAACGTGGGATGGGGCATTTTTACTATTTTCTCTTCTTAATTAAATTATCATCATTTTCAAGAGTTGAAAGGAAGGGGATTATTGGCATATGAAAGTTTCTCCATTTTAGGGTGGCGACTTTATATATCTAGTAGCCTCTTGCTACACGCAATTGGCCTATTAATATTAAAATATATATGCAGATGACGTTTTATCGCAGTGGCAGAAAATAATTATTGTGGTATAGTCTCCATTATCACCGATTCTCTAGTTATTTAACTCACTAATGCTATCATTGTACCAAAAAAATAAATAAACAAAATAAATACAATACCATTCTTTCCTTACTTCACTAAGCGTTAACCTTTGGAGTCAACGCATATCCTCACCACAATCGGGTGTAAGGTGGCTCTTAACGTGTCCATGTGTGTCACTCTCGCTAGACAAGGAATTAACTTGCAGTGCCAACAACGGGATAAAAATCCCTACAATTGTGGCCTGTGGATAAAAATCCCTACAATCATGGCTCGGTCATAGGTCATGAAATTTGATGCGGTTAAGAGGTCTCCTTAAACGAGACTCTTAATAGGTGACTTTCACGTTTTCTAAAGTCAAACGATTAAATGGTTTAATAAGAGTGATAACAAGTCTTAAACAAGCCAATTATAGGATGCCACAATTGGCCTAATGGATCACCTTCAAACTTAGACTTGCCACTATATAGATATGGCCCTCCTCAACCATGAAAAGGTAATTTGTCCTCCAAAAGAACTAGGGCTTTCGTATTCATTCTGTCCACTAGTCACTTAGGCACGAGAGAGCTTTTCACTCACTTTCAACCATACAAGGTCTAACATTTTTTTTTTTTGAGAAGAAACAATTTTATTAAAGAAAAGAGAACAACACAGAAGTGGATAAGAAATCCACTAACTGTATAACAGGGAAAAACCCATTAGGATTTGGCTACAGCAGCCATTTTTAGACCTAGCTCACTTAACTGCTGCTAACAAATCCCAAAGTATTTGAGATAGAGAAACATTATTAAACTCTTTAGTGACTGAAGCCCAAAAAGCTGCCCAATATTTTACTCTCCCCCAAAGTTCTTCTGCCCCCACTCCAGTATAGTCTTCAAAAATCCTCTTGTTGCGTTCCAGCCATATATTCCAGAAAATTGCCGATACCAGGCAACCCCACAAAACTTTGGATTTTTTCCTTTTTCCAAGTGCCTTAAAATTTGTGCTTAGTAGTTCGAAACACCCTTTAGGAATGACCCATCTCGCTTTAACCTCCTGAAACAATTTCCACCACAGTTGAATCGAGTAGAAGCAATGAAGAAAGATGTGATCTACACTCTCCTCCTCGGCTTTGCACAGGCTACACCAATGTGGTGATAAGCACATAAGCGGGTTTCTCCTTTGAATTCTGTCGCATGTGTTTAGATTCCCATTGGCCACAAGCCATACAAGTATTTTAACCTTCGGAGGAACTTTTGATTTCCAAATCTGAGGGTAGGGTGGAAAATAGTGCACACTCCCATTGTTTGTCAGTAGTGACCGATAAGATTTGCATGAGAACAAACCTGAAGCTTCCAGATTCCACCTTCTGTTATCCATCTTTAATGGAGACAAACGAACCTCTTCCAGTTTCTGTAATAATGTGGCCACCTCTACTATCTCCATCTCATTCAAGTTTCTCCTAAAATCAAAGTTCCAACTCAAAGGATTTGATGAAACTTCCACGAAGCTCGAGATGTTTTGATTGTGCTTCCTCGAAAGTAGGAATAGTCTGGGGAATTGCTCCTTCATCGGTCCCCCTGTTAACCACCCATCCTCCCAAAACCTCACCCTCTCTCCGTTGCCCACCTCAAACGTGCAACTTCTAAGAAACTGATGAGAACCACTCGAAATGTCTTTCCATGGGCATCGACTTGAACCATACAAGGTCTAACATGTATATTCATTTCTTGGTTGCTAGGATTATATGATTGTGTGGAATTCGTTTCCGGCAAGAACATTTATTTTTATCCAAATGATCAAATTGATATTTTTGGTTTTTGAAATAAATATAAAGATTCATCACATAATTCTGAAAGTAATTTATATTCGAATCGACGCCATTCATCTCTGCCCCAAACATAGAATAATATTATAAAATATTATCCTACCCCCTTAGTCTTGATACGCACCAAATATAGGATATGATTAGGTCTAAGACAAGCCTATCCAGCTCAATCTCTATAATTAGACTCGTACAATTTAGTAAGAAAATTGGAAATGTACAATTTAGTAAGAAAATTGGAAATGTACAATTTAGTAAGAAAATTGGAAATGTACAATTTAATAAGAAAATTGGAAATGTTCCAAATAAAACATCCAAGTGAAACTTGTGATTCATGAAGCTATACAATAACAATTGAAAGTAACAATTTTTTTTTAACTTTTATACATAAAAAAAAATTGAATTAGTGTAATTGGAAAACAAAAAGAATGAAAAACTTGGCCGATCTTTGATGACAGCAATCTCTTCCTCAAGTTACAGAGCCTAAATGAAAAAGTTAAAAGCTAAAAGTGAAAAATAAAACAATATAGTTAAGGCTTTTTTTATTAGCATCCCACAATACGTTGAATACACCCTTCATTAAAATTTAATATTAAGTGACTTACATACCTAATATGTAATGACAATTTCGACCATATAAGATTTTAAAGAAAGAAAAAAAAAATCCAAATTACTTTTCACATGTATATCCCAAGTTTATTTATCTTCTTCAACTCTCAAAACCACTCTCATCCTCCATTGTAGAATCAATGAAACTACAACCATGTTAATTGAAAAAAGACAAATGAAACATGAAATCAATGTTTCGGAAACTTTACATGAGGTAAGACTTCGTATTTTCATTGTTAAGTGATTTCAATGACATCGGCATGCATATAACTGTGTTATGAATGATATCCATTAAAAACAAATATGATTGATGATGAGAATCACACACCTAATAAACCTTCGCCACATTAGATCACAAAGATCCCTTGATTTTAAAAGCAGCGTAACAACCTAATCTCTTCCTCTAATTCAATGATTCAATAACTAAATCCTTTCCCATGATTCAATCAAAGGAAAAGAAGAGGAATCATCATCATCAACCCTAATATTTGTTTAATCCCCATTACCCAGTGCCACTGCTCCTACTCTATATAAAGCTCTACACTTCTATAGCTGCCATATTTTTTTTTTTTGGATTTTTATCCTCCTCATCTTCCTCATCCACTGTTGCGAAAATCATCTTCCTCATCTACTGGTACGGAATACCCACAGCCTTCCACCTCTTTCCATGGAAGGGATAGAGAAACATGAAGGGATAAACACATGCAAATAATCAAACAATTGTTGGCACCACTCCAACAGAAAAATTGAAAAAATTTCGAAATACACACCGGCTTCAGCTTTACACCGAAAGTACTTTTGGATGACCTTATGTATTTACACCTAAAATTTGAAGAGTGTAGGGTGGTGTATGTAGAAAATATAAGGTATATGGTGAGAGTGTGGGGAGTGAGGGTACTATAAGAAAGTAAATGGGGTGTGTTAAGATAGGTTTGAATTAAAAAAGCAAATATGGGGTGTATTAAGTATGTGAGGTATATTCAACAACATGTGGGGTTTCAATATAATAAGCCTATAGGTAAAGCTGGTAGCCCTTGAGCTTTTTAAATTCACTGGATTACCTGTAATTTTCTTTCATCACTAGTATAGAATCAGCAACCTGCAGCTTTTAGGAAGTTATCATACGGACTCGACGCTGGTAGTCTGAAAGAGTGCGGATGATGCTGGTATTCGGTTACACACATCATCGGGGCATGGCCTGTGCTAGGGGATGGTTTGTATGAATTGGCAGTGTCGTCAACAAATGGATTTCCGCTCTGCATTGTCATTCAAATTCACAATTTTAGATTGAAGATGCCAGCCAGAGTACATTGAATTAAGTATGATTAATTTAGGTTATAGCCAGAAGGCAGTACCCTATGTGAGTCGGATGTCATCCATTTGGCGTCATCACTGTGATTTTGTAAAGACTGATTCATCAAATATTCCTGCTTCGGTTGGGAACTCATCAAATTTGACATCTTCTGCTGCTTTCCTAACAGGAGTGCCTCACACTGGCCGGCCATCTCCTTGTATGGCACATCAGGTGCATTTGAGACCGATACTCTTCCAACTTGATGTGCGGTCTCCAGGACCTGGGCGCATGAAAAAACCTTGTAGTGGTGAACACCTCTCTCTCTGAATCTTGCTAGTGAACAAACAGAAGGCTTTTTCTTTAAAAGCCATAAAACTAAATGTACAACATATAGTGACTAACGTACTGATTCAATAAGTTGACTGACACTCAAAAGATTGTGAGACTCTGCAGAAAAATCCAAGTTGTTCTTTTGGCTATCAAATGAACCTTGAAAATAATCATCGTCCAATGAAAATATTGGAGCATCCTGCATTACAAGAATAAAATCATGAGGCCTAAGCATTAAGAGAAAACTTGATGTTGGCCACCCCTAAGTATAGTGTGATAATAAGTACCCTCGTTTCTTCCCTCCCAACGCTTATGTTTTAGGTGCCACACCCTCGCACAGACATAGGATCTAGTAACCAAAAAAACAAAAACAAAAGTGAAAGCTATGAAGGGTAATTACCTCTTTCATAGATTTAGTGTCCCTCGAATCAACCTGATACAACTTTTGCGGGGCATCCATACACAACTGGGCTCCCAGTGGACACACATCATCAGGTAAGAATTCACTGAGCAGCTCCTCCCTTATAGTAGACATTTCAGCCTGCATAAATAGCTCGCTATTCATTATCCACGGTATAGCACAAATGATTTTTCTTCCTTTTACTATGAATAAGCAGTCCAAAATGCTTAAAAGTAGTAAAAAAGCTTACATCTAACAATCTTTCCAAGCTCTTCACAACTTCAGAAGCAAAAAATTCCTTGGTTTGCTCTTCAGTAATATTGATCTCTGATAGAGATTTTAATGCCATATTATCATCTTCTTCAGATCCATAAAGATGTCTGGGATGGTTCGGTCCAGTCTTGACAGCCTGTAACTTGCGATCTTCAACCAAATGCAGGAACGGATCAACCTGATTAAGAATATAAAGGTGTCAAAGCTATTTTAGGTTTGACTAGAGACGTTTGATTATGGAAATCTCACATAAAAATATGCCAGTACATGGTTCACTTTCTTCGTGTCTTTCAAAATCGATAAGTTTAAGCAAAAAGTCGAATGCATAAGTAAGTAGTTATTAAAGAGAATCTGGAGCTTATGAGACCACTGGAAATCAAAAAGAGGCAACCTATTCGAATAAACTTCACCTGAAAAGAGAAACTTACTATTTTATCCACAAGTACCGCCTTGGCTCTACAAACAAGAGAAACAATATTGTATGCTTTTGATAGAAAGAGAATCATTGAAGTTGCAAGGGTAAAAAGGGACCTGCGACGGGATGGTGGCAGCAGCCCTGAAAAGAAAGGGGGAAAGTGCTTGATATTACATCCTAACAAATAAATTATTGACTATCCAGTCTATTACTTAACCAAGATTTTACTTCGTTTATACATCTATCTCTTTAGTGTGAAGGTTTTAATTTAGATAAATTTTCTCATGTTTTCTTCTCTATCTAATTTATATTTAATATTAGCAAATGAAATAATGTACAATTATATCACAAATGAAAACGCAAGCATAGAGCATATGCTCATTAGTTTGGACAGACTGCCTGGTTCACCTCCTTCATTAAGAGATATGTTCCGCAAGGAAAATGCCAGTTGAAAACTTCGAACAAGAACCTCAATTCTGGAATTCTACAACAAACGATAAACAATAATAAGAAAAGAGAAAATGGGACCATAAAAGCGACAAAGACGAAGGAGTGAAACAATAAATAGTGCCACTATGTGGGTATACAACTGGCAAAAGTTCTCCAAGTCATCCCTTTAAAATTCTGAATTCTCCATATATTTTAGAGTCACAGTTTGCCCATGGTGACATTACCCTCAAAATACATAACACAATGACCTACAAGGTGGGGATTGAACTGAGAAGTTTATAAAGCAGTTAGCAGCAGTTACAAAAGATTAATACAATGTCTTGATCTTCAAACCAGCAAGGAACTAGGACAACTTTTGAGGGACATAGAAATTAAGTGATCATTTCCATTTTCAAACTAGTTCAATTACATAATAATCAAAGCTACTCCAACTGTCCCAGGTCCAACTCATACGGTTTGAAGTCATAGGGAAGATAAATCAACCTTTACTAGTGCGGTGCCTAAGCAAGTTCGGGAGGAAATAATGCGATGGCGATGTTAACTAATCCATTGGCTCTCTGAAGTAAAAAAGGCTTTTAATATTCAGAAAGACTGAAATGAACTAAATTGCTAACATGTTAATTTCAGTTCTAGCTAAAAGTGGCTTCAGATAGGACATAGGATGCTTAGTCATCATCATGTTCCCCTGCTTGAAAGAAACTAATTTCAAAAACTTCTTAAGCACTAAGAAGATATGGTGTAAACATGCTGTCAATATGGGATACCATCAAAATGAAAGTCCTATCCCAAAAGAAAAGAAACTATATAAAACATCACCAGCATATATAATAGAAAAGACTAATCAAGTAACGTCAACCCAACAATTACCTTGGCCCGAGAAAACAGCACTACGAGGCTAAGCGTATGAGCAATTGCTTCATAGTTTTCCGGCATGTTCCCGGGAGAGATGGATTGCGCCCAAATTGATAAAAGCAAGAGAGTTATCTGGTGGCTGCTCAATCTGAGGGAATTAGCTTCCTGAGGTTTAACAAATGGAATCAGTCATTCATAACCAAATCAATGTTGTTAGACAACTACTGAACTCCATAAGTCTAAATTATTATGGAATATGCCAACAACGTAAATAAAACTAACAACCTCCGGGAGGGAGGAAAACATATGGAGGCAGAAAGAACAATATGGCTGAAGATCCATGCTACATCTTGCAAATAAACACAGAAGTGAGGAATGAGTAGTGGAGATTTCAAACTGAAAATCCCTTGGAACTAGAAACTTGGTAGCATTTTAGGCAATCGTCGAATCTCATGTTTTAGTTTCAAACTGAAAACCCTCTGAAAACCCAATGGGTTTACAAAGTATTTCAAAGAAAAAATTATAAACCAAATCTTAACTAGTTTTCAGAAATTCATTGTGCTGAACGTTTCGAGACCTTTCATCTAGTGAAAAAAGTCGATACACTATGAACAAAGCTGGATTTGATACCCACGAGAAATTACACACTGAAGCTTGGACCCTAGTCCAGCTAAAATCCAGGCATTCAACTAATCAAGTCCCACACAGTCAAACCACAATAAATAAAAATATATTTATGGCAAGTGATTTGGAAGCTGATCCTTACCCAACCAAAACCAAGGAATTCAACTATTGCTTAGTCAAGTACATAACTAATGTATAGATTAGAGACGAAAGTGAAACCACTAACATAATTAGGATATAGACAAAACTTATGCCAAGTAACTGCCCTGTATTTCGGTTTAAAGTATAATTTATGCCCCACCGAAGATAGATGACTCATTACCAATACAAGCAAAGGGGTAAGCATTTATAGGTTTGTGAATGGATGCGTCAATGAGGCAAGCACTAAAAAAGAAAGGGAGTTTTAATGAAACACTCCTGGTACTGTTCACTTTTAACGAAAAATCACATTTTTTACCTTTCCCTGCTACTATTCACTACACTCTTATTTGTCCTCTTTCATTAAAACTAAAGTTTTTTTGGACTTTTTGTTAGTTTTCCTAAAGAAATCACCGACAATAAAACTAGACAAGCATATTGGAGATGTAATGAATTTCATAATTATTCCAGAAAAAGATTAAAGAAACAATTTTACAAACTCACAGGTTCCTTAGTCGAACTGTTGACAGAATTTTCTTTTGTTGATGAAGGTGCAGGAGAACTTTTTATGCTATATGTCCGACTATAAGAAGACCTCAATCTGCTCAGAATCCCATTATTGGTATCTCTTTGTTCCCCCTCATTATCTGTATTTTCATTGTCCTCTTCACAAATACTTTCTCGTGAAGAAATTTTCTCTCTCCTTAGCTTCTCAAAGAGGGCAGCTGAAGAAGAAAAGACAGATACAGTTCTTGAGAGTGTCCTGGGAAAATTCAATGCCTTTTTTGACTCAGTATTAGGTGAGGATCGAGTAGGACAAACTGAAGATGGCACAAGAACAACAGAGAAGATGCGATGTGCTCCAACACGTGTTTCATGGTCTGGATGGACCATAGCTGGCAGTAATTGATGAAACAATGCCTCAGGGAAAGCCTATTAAAAGTGCACAAAACAAATAATTAAAACTCTTTATAAGACAGAAAGAATCACAAATTTTACAAGAACATAAGTTATACTACTTGCCTTGTTTGATAGGACAAATTTGGTAAGGAAGCTACAATTTGAGCTGTACGATAAACAGCAGAGATTGTATTTCTGGCTATAACTGTAATAGTCGAGATATTTTCCAACATAACAGCCATAGCATCAAGGATTGGTCCTGGTTCTCCAACCTGTTCAACAATGACAGATTAGTTGTTGTACGTTTGATTAAGTCTTGGATAACAAGTGAAATCTGAACTATAAAAACTTGTAGATTCACTAAACTATTTGCCATGATAAGAACTAACACTACAAGTAGCAATCTAACTCAAGAAAATTTCGTGATAGTGCATTTGTAGGCGCAAAGTTCATTCAGTAACTGTAGTAAATGAGTAGCACCTTATAACATAACTGTACAAGGCACTTATCCACCACTTCTCTAAAGCTTCTGTTCCATTTTGTTACATCTGTTCCCAAATTAGCATCATCAAGCGAGCAGTGAATGCTCTTCCTCAAATGCCTCATGGCATCACTTACTGCACCAATTATTGCCACAGAGGGCTCAACCTTGGCAAGTTGAGAAAGAGAGGTGGTAACCTCCGCTATTTCGAGCTGCATGTTGGGTTGTTTGAGGACATTTTTGTGATCCAAATGCTTGATTAGAATGGAAAGCAAAATATGTGTACTTTGCCCTGCAACAAGCAAATATCAAAAGGCTGGATAAGTCATCAATAGAAGAGCTTTTGTGGTTGAAACATCTGACAGGACCAAAGATGATGTATACAGAAGGTAAAATTAAATACCACAATCATCCATTAAAACTTGTATATCCTTTAGGACTGGGATAGCAAGACCATATTTGGGAGACCATAAGTTCCCTGTGTCGAAGTAACGGAACAGAGATTCCAGGACACGTCTGATTGTTGTAGCCTCCTTGGCTAGCTTGGCCATGTTGTGCAGGCAAACCCTAGACCAAAAGCAGGGGTTCTTGGCATCTTCCCTATAGCATAAGAAAACAAACATTAATAATTGAAATGAATTGACATGTTGACAAACATGTAAAGCCATCAACAAAATCTCGTGCCAACAGAGACATACACTGTCACATTTAGTTCGCCTTTGTCATCCACAAGGGTGCTCCAAGATGTAAGCCTGATGGTGACATCTGGGGAAGAAGAACCATGACCCTCGTTACTTTGCACTTCCTGCACCCACCGCTTTGAGCCTTCAAGGTTCTCTGTAGTTTTATTTGAACCTCCATAATTTTCCAAGACAACTGCAACAATCTGTATATTAATAGGGAAAAAGAACAATGTCAAGAGGATTTAAGGTAGCATTCGTTCTAGCTGCTTCATAAGAATGACTTCGAGAAGTAAATGAGTGAAGAGTAATATAATCTTAAAACCGAAAAACCAATGCAGCACTTACACATAATTGTGGCTTTCAATAAAGTTAATTAAAAGAAAGAAGGAAAAGTTGGTCACTTTCCACTAAAGATGAAGGAATATTAAAATAACCACACTATTTTAAAATCTATACTCTATGAGATCAATTTTTTGTCCTATTGTAATTGGATTTGCTCTCTCTCGGTAGTTTATTTGCATACTCTCTGCTAATTGTAACCAGAGGAACACAGTTCAGCAAATAATCATTTTCTGATGCGATCTTAATTAAACAATAATCTAAAGAATTTTCAGATTGAATATGGAAAATTTAGACAACAGTAGAAAGGTTAGAAGACTGAGTCACATCATATCCATCAGCACTTTGTGAAAAAAAAAAAACTGTAGTGAACAACCACATACAAGAGTTTTAATCCAGCTATCTTTCTTTGATCTATAAGGAGTCCAAGATTTTTAGGTTACTTGTTAGGGTTACTCATTACTGCATTAGCAAGACTTTTCAGATCCATATGAATTATTAGATTGAATGCAATATTAGGATTTTAATATCATTCATTATAATGAACGTTCGAAATATGTATTTAATTTATTTTTGCTCACAAGTACCAAGTTTTTTTTTCACATTGCTATCATATATTCAATCACTTGGAGCTAACGGAAGACTTGGCACAAAACCGAGTGCAATGGCTTTCTAGGATTCATACAGCCAACCCCACTTAGTGGGATAAGGCTTTGTTGCTGTTGCTGTATCGTATATTCTTTCAATTCAACCTTTAACATTAACTGAAATGGGTAGTGAAAGTTGACAATCCCTCATATTTGAAATTGGCAATCAAAATGGAGCCCTAGGCTAGTCATGGCTCATAAGTTCATAATTATAAAATGATACTCTACCAGGTAAAAGATTTTAACCATCTGAAAGATTGTGAAAAGAAAATGGGAACAACTTAAGGCCCGTCTGGTAACCATTTCGTTTTTAGTTTTAATTTTTTCTGTGTGCTTGAGACATAGGAAAAGTATATGGAGATAAGGTGGGATGCGGAAGTGGAGGACAGATGGTGGGAGAGATGTACAAGGGAAGGTACACAAATTGAAACCTAAAAACCAAAAACTATTTTAAGTTGTTCGCCCTACAAGATTTTGTTTTCATTCATTGTACTTTATTTCTTACCCACCCTTCTCCATCCCTCCTTTCTCCCCACAACTTTCCTCATATCTCAAGCACAAAAGGTGAAAACTAACAACTAAAAATGAAATGATTATCAAAAGGTCCAGCTGGTGTTAATAGTTGATAGTTAATGCAAAATTTTAAAGAATAGATTTTAATTTATCGTTGAGGGTGATCCAAAAAATTATCTTCACATTAATCAACTATAACTATACAAAGATTACTTGAAAGTTTGGAACAAGATTTAAGAAACTTTGAATGTACTTACGCTATCGAACTTGACTGATATATGAGACTTCTCACCCATAAACCAAACCTGCAAAATAAAATTTAGAAAACTTAGTTTGCATTAGAGATATAGGTTCTGAGCATTGAGAAAACATGTTGTGAATGGCATAAATTTCCAACAGAGATATCATATTATTTCATTTTTAAGAGCTTCATCAGGCATAGAATGTAGAAAAGTATATCAGTCATGGTAAAGGGGACAAAATTGCTAAGTTCAAGAAAAAGGGAGACAAAAAAAAAAAAAAAAAAAAAGATCAAACCAAAGTGTAATAAGCATCTCCCATAGCATGTTTCATTTTGAATTTTGAATTTCACATATTGCTAAGGTGTAGTGTTACATTTATAACAGAAACAATATGAAAAGGGTACCATTGAAGAAAGGGCTTGGAGTGCAGCTGAACGTAGATTACTTGCCCTTTCATCTTCCCCCGGCTCTTGAGCTATCTGACAGAGTTTTGGAATAAAGCCTTCTAAGTTGAACGTGTAAGTTCCATCCGTCTGGAAAATACAGAGAGACTGATTAAATTTGAAATTTTCTCTAGCCAACCTGGCTGGTGACAAATTAAAAGTGAAGAAGTCCATAAACCACATATTCACAAACCTGATTATTTACAAAGTTGAAAAGAGTCTGACATCCTATAATTTGCATTTCATCTTGCCGTGTTTGATCCAGAAGTGTATGCATAATGCTGAGCAAGCTACTCGCAAAAAGAGGCCTAGGGAAATGTCACTGAACATAAATTAACCATGTAATCGCACACACAAAAATATGCATTTACATATTTTATACATATAGCCCACAAGCACAAATAAACAGAGAGCTTAAGTGAGAGAGAGAGAGAGAGAGAGAGAGAGGTTATTGTTGGAGATTCCTGCAATGTTATACGTTGCCAGAATGTGGATCACTACCTCATATTCAAACATATCATTCCAACTGAATAGTCTGAGACTCTGAATTCACAGAATCAGATACTAGGGTTTGAAGTGTTGCTTAAAGTTTGGACCTTAGAGCTCAACTCTAAGCCCTAAATGAGACCATCTTAAAAGCAAATTTTCACTCTGTTTGAATGGTCAATACTGCTATTTGAAAAGTGTGGGGTCTCGTTCAATATGTGTGTGTGTGTGTGTGTGTGAGAGAGAGAGAGAGATAATGGAACAAAAAAAAAATTAGAGAAGGAAGAACTCACATTTGCTCCTTACAAGAAATCAGCAATTTGTTGTAAATGCACATTACAATTTTTGCGGATCGAAAGTTCTCATTCCTCAATTCTTTGTAGCACCTTTGCTCAAGATAAGTTGTAATCTGCTCCCAAAATATTCAAATTTCGTTGGAAAAGAGAGAATATTTAACATTATCTGTATTTCAGAAAAATCTTTAAGATGCAACTCCTGAAAAATACTGTAATACAAAAGATATTTCACTTTGTAGAAAAAGGAAGCAAGGAAGGCTGAATATTTATTGACAAATAATCACATAGTGAAGCATGTCACATATTCGTGGTGCAAGGAAAAGGTTTGATTCCATTGGTAACCCCAATCAGAAAAATTAGGAAAACTATAAAAAGATTGAATCATTGAACCATAGCTGAAATTCAATATCAGAAATTGATTTGAGAAACCTATTAGAAGGGTCATAAATTCACATCATCATTTCACACATTGTATGACTTACTAATAACTACATCCATCCTTTTCTCTCAACTCTTTTGGTCAACTTATTTCCCAATGTTTTCTTCCCTCTCTCCTTTAAACAAATTATCAATTAATTTACGATATAATCTTTGTTTGTTTTTATTATGAATTATGTTAAATATGATGAGAATATATGGAGGAAGCTTCTTGAGGGATCTGTAAACTTATTTGGGGGACACACTTGTAGGGCCCGCTCCCCTTGTTGTTTGATGATCTGACCCTCTCATTTTAGGTCTTCACTCAAAGATTGTCCTTGCAAAAATCACTCAAATTTGAAACCGCTAACCACTCAATTAGTGTCTTCTTGGAATACCATGTTGGTCTATTTTCTTCGCTACAAATAGATGTCTTTAGTGGTAGCTGTTTTGTCTAATTTTTTTTTTTTTTTTTTTTGCAAGGATGACCTTTGAATGAAGAACTAAAAGATAGATGGTTCAGATCATCGATTACAAGTCAGAGAGTGCCGCACAAGGTATCCCTCAGATAAGGTTATGTTTGGGATCCCTCAAATAAGGTTATAAAATTATATATATTGGTGAACCATGTGATTGTAAAAATGGACCTAGCTTAAGACACATTATAATTGATACCTTTGGGATTCGCAAAGGATTTTTGGCAACATATTCGCACAACTTCCCAATCTTCCGATCATTAGGTCCCTCTTCCTGTCAAAATGTAAAGATTAAAAGTCCTGAATCTTGATATAGCATACACACAATTTAGGGGGAAGGGAATGAAAGGAAAACGAGCACATCACTCACTAGGAAAGTGATTGCATTGATGTTAAAACTTCATAATCAACGTAATTAAACCACATTTTAATATTTTACATGAATGTTGAGGTATAGCATGCTTAACTAATGAAACAATATTTCATTGACGAGCTAGAAAATTAGGCATAGTTCGGAATGCAAGGAAAATTAATTTGATGGTTTATAACCATGATTTTTCAATCAAAGAAACATGTGTTCTGACCAGGGTAAAAACCCAAAAAGAAGTAACACAAACATACATTTTTGCATACTGTTCTGACAAAATGCTCCCTTGGGTGAGTAGAATAAAAACTATACGAATGAGAAAAAAAAAGGTTTGATCAACTAGTATTTATCAACCAAAGAAAGAAACAAATTCTTCTTAACTGAGTTTGAAAGGCATTGGTAGCATCAGCAAACGCAAGCTAAAATTTTTTTCTTCTATACTCCAACTGACCTCATTGTATAAGAATTAAACTATCAAGAAAAATAAAAACCATGATGTAAATAAGAAGATAAAAACAGGACACCACCAACACATCATGCATAAGGCCTTCAGTTAATAACGGCATGGCACACAACGATCACAATGCTTTGTTTTCAATTAGAGCCATAAACAACTTCCTACACCAATAGACATGATTGTGTTATGAAGTAAAGAATCTATTAAATAAGTTGTTCTTTTCAGGCCACATTTCAGCCTCGAATGGCAGGCAACAATATCAGAAACTGGGTTTGAAATCAATTATGAGAGTCATGAAATACTCATTTTACTAGACAATGATGCATATTGCATAATTCTAAGTTCAGTCTCAAATGGCACGCAACAGATACCTAGTTTTCAATTACCTGTCAGAGCCATAATGAACTTCAATATCTGTCTACATCTGAAGTTACATAATAAAAAATTTACTTGGCAAGGGGTCCATTTTTCCAGGCACATCAATCAATCAAGGACCTAAGATCACTAAACCCTGTTTTTCCATGTAGTATTAAATAGAAATGTAGTTGTAAAAACAAAATGAATGGGCCCAGTATCTGTCAATTAATTCAAGTACCACTTATATGTTTTAGTTTAGAGGAGGGATAGTATTTGAGAAGGTTCAACAACCTAGATTGTCAAAACTCAAACAATACAGACGATTCTTAAATACTCAATCTACTCAATTAGACTATGTAATGGTTGGTAGCAAGTTGCGGAATGCTCCTCTGAATTTCAGTTCACTTAGGAAAAACCATTACTTTAATAGTCATGTCAAATGGTTGCATTTTCACAGCAGAAGTCCGTCATCCAGCAATGGACTGCATATCTACTATAACATCAACACTTTTCCAAACCCACAAAAGGCACATAGAGATGGCTATCTTATCATCCAGAGTCCCAGACAAGTCTCTTTACAAAAGGTAAAATTATCTTAGGGAACAAGTAACGAATCAAATGCAAACAACAGCCCATCTAGGTAAAATACGAGAGCAAAACGAACCTGGTTCCGAGGGAAAATATCAGCAATGAGCTTCTTGTACCTCTTAACCGGCTGTCTAGACCTGGCTCGCAATGCCGGGCAGAAGAAGCAAAGGCTGCCACAGGCAGGCAAAACTTGGCGCGAAATCACCCCCGAAACAGCGCTCATTTTCGAGTACAAGATGCATACAATTTGACACGAAGGAAAAATAGGAACCTCAGAAATTGGCCTTTCTTTCCCTTCCAAATATATGAGAAAAAGCTCACAATTTGGGTGCAGAGAAGGGAAAGAAAGGCTCAAAACTGAGATGGGTAGCTCTCAAACAAACCAGCCTGCGAACAATTAGCAAAATCTCAAAAGTCCAACCAAAGCCTCAAAATTCAAGAACAATTCAACATTCAATACAAGTTCCCAATGTGGGTTTTCAAATTCAATCAAGAGGGTATTCCAAAATCCCAAAAAGGCATCAAAATTCGACGATTTTTGTATCAAAATCGTGGCGAAAAAATTTACCCCCGATGAACGCCTGCAACGAGCAGGGGGAGACCTGAGGCTGGAAAATCCACCTTATGCTGCCACGCTGAAAATGTACCGGAACTCCAGCATATTCCACCGCGATTTCTTATGTGTTCTTCCCTTTTCTTTTTTTCTTTTTTGAATTTTCGAATTTATAGTCTAAATTGTACCCGTCCAGCCTGCAGTGCTGCGCCAATACTCAGAAAACGTCTACACGTTTTCAACGGTTCAATATGTGGGTCCCAGGGGTTTGGTAGATTTTTGGGGTCCATGCTGACGTGGGTGCATTTTATTAAGGCTCTGTGATCGTAGACGTGCTCTCTGCTCTCTCGACAGTTAATTTTTTCCCCTTTTTGTCAACCGAAATTTTGACAGTTAATTTACCTAATTTCTTCTTCTTCTTCTTTTTTTTTTTTTTTTTGGTAAAGATCTTACCTTCATTGAGAAGGAAGAAAAAGATTGGGGTTCTATGATTTTTCCATTTCTTGGTATTATGTGACTAACTGTTATATATTTTCAATTTTTTTATAGGAATATATTTTCAAATTTAACGTAAGTTAAGTAGAATATTCCTTAAATAAAAAAGATATTATATATTCGTATATTTCTCACTTAATCTCTACTATGGAGTTTAGTGTCATGGATTTTGCTTTAGGTTATTTCCAATGGGCCAAAAAAAATTATAGGCAAAATCCATATTTGATTTCAAATTTGATTCAATCACTCTCCAGTGCAACGGAAAATTTGAAATTATATATCACTTTAGAGTCAAGTGTTTAGTCATATTTGATTGAGGTTTAACTCTAGAATTAAAAGGGTTCTTCATATATTTATTATCATAAGATTTTTGCTTAAAAGGGGTTCCTCATTCAATCTTGCTTAAACGACTATTTTATTTCAAATAGTTGCTGCCATTTTTTCTTCCGAACATTTGCATGGAGCATGTATTCAATTGTCATAATCTATATCCTGTTGAAAATTGGTAACGACTATTTCTAAAATCTTCTATAAATGTATATATTATTCAAAGTACATTCGATCCATTTAGCTTCATCATAATATGAAAATCACTCACACTCGAGTTAGGAAATACAAAATGCTGATGTGGAACGAGAATAAAAAAGGAGAACAAGAAGTAAGCGGATGATGGATTTTCATGTCATGGAATAAAATGTGTGTGTACATGTTATGGTAGTGATAGATTCAAAATAAAATAAAACAAAAATTTAACTTTGAGTTCAACCATCTGTAATGCACAAGAGTTAAAAGTTAATTATTAAAAGTCAGAACGTGCACCAGAGATGATATAACTTTTCAAGTTAAATTCAAAGTCAAATACAACTTTATAACTTTTAACTTTAGGCCGGAACATTGAAGATGAACTTAGTAGTTTATAATTGCTGAGGTTTGATGAGGAATATTGTTAGAGAAGAGAAAGGGCAATTATGAGGCTGATAATTGCATTCTATTCCTTAAAGCAAGGTAGAGAAATGATCCAATCTGAGACATGAAGCATAAAACAAAATCATCAAGGGATGGATTAAATTAAGTAGTTGGATTATTATCCACCTTCTTTCCAAATGGAAGCACTCAAGCGCCCATTCCCTTTCATAATTAAACCGCCCGACATGCACTAAACGGTAATCAGAGGGTCATGGTGCTGGACTTGGCTTGAAGATAAAACCGGTCTAGTAGTACTCATGTTCAGTAAAGTGAAAGGTCTAAAATTTGATTTATGTGAATAACGAGTTTGCAACCATATTATTAAATTTGAGCCATCGTACTGACTAAAAAAAAACAAGGGGAAAATATTGATGTTCTATAAGCATGGTATCGAAATTCATTTAATCGAAATTCATTTTAAGTATGGTTCAAATCATGAAACTATACTGCAGAACGAAACAAGTCTTACAAAAATCTCAACTTAATATTTTCGTTAATTAGCCTTTGATCTATTTGATAGGAATGAGTTATGGCGTTGTTAAGGTAGCTCACTAAGTATTCTATCATTTGTCGAAACTAAATATGAGAAATTATTTTAGCACGCTCACTTTTCCTTCTGAAAACCCAAATTTACTTGCGTCGTTTCATTCTCTTTTGATTTCTTCAATACAAAAGCCAAACCCTATTTCATACAATACCATTGTAGAAAATGGGCATGGATGGGTAAATAAGCAAACTTAGAAACATTGGTTCTGTTACTAAATAGTCTGCTTCTAGAGAACAGGTATAACACAATCTCATTCGGCTGTTAATAGGTAATCGATATTCTCAAACAATTTTGTATTCAATTTGACAGCTTACAACACAAACAGTTCATCCGAATGCTTAAAAACTATATGCATTTGCAATTTGTCAATGTGAACCGCGATATTTATATCCAAAAGAAAATACAAATAACAAACACTTTCTCCAAAAATGATACCTATGCTCTTGAAGTACCGCCGTGATCTCTCTCAACGTGCTCTACAAGTGCTACTGGATCACGAAATCCTTTGCTACATTTCGGGCAGGCATCAATTGTTACTTTCTTCACCCCAGCAGCTCGGTTGCCACTCTTCTCATGGACTTTTTCTACATGGTCTACTAGTGTGGTGACTGAGGAAAACTTAGCACCACACTGAGGACACACCTCAACCTGCCCGTTTCTACTCCCACTGCTGCTGCTGCTCGGCCCCGTTCCATCCTTTGCTATCTGCCACTTTTGGCTAAGTTCACTACTCAGTTTTGCAACACTTGCTTCAGCTGAGGCTCGAAAAGATGAAGCTGCAGTAAGAAAGCTACCCCACTTCGGGGATGATGCGGCAGGAGCATGACTCGGTTTTGACACTTCTTTCCTACTCCTACTTAAGTAGCCCATAAAGGGAAATCCTGCTTCTGGTTTCTTGGGTCCAGGACACTTGTGATCAGGTCCAAATCGGTGCTTCAAACAGAGGTCTACCATGCAATCCCTGCACTTGATTGTGTTGGAGAATGTTAAGATCTCCTTGCAGCCAGGGATAGGACATTTTTTCTTCTTTGTGGCTTTCTCATAATTAGAAGGGTCGCAATCAGTGTTAACATGTCTCTCCCAAGTAATGTTTGGATCTTCATCGGGAATCAGATGAACTCCTTTGGCACAGAGGGGACAGATGACAACAGTAACATTGTTTCTGTCACCGTTCGGACAATTATGCTTAATGTAGCTTCTATGCTCCAAACAAAATACCTACATAATGTCAACCTTGTGTCAGTATGAAGAATCTAATATTCAAGAAGCAGAAATAATGCAGGAAAACTATAATCCACAATTCGGGAAGATGGAAGATGGAAGATGGTAAAAAGATGGAAGCCTACGCTATAGTAGAAACCTGAGTAAATAAGGCTTTTTTGACCCAAAAAAAATTAAAATAAAGACTTTAGGGATATATTCAACCCTAACCATTGGTTGCCATACATCAATTGCATTTTGATATTTGGTGAAAAACCGCAATGTATGTGACGAATCACACCACCATTCCAGAAGGTGCAATACATTTCACTTCATTTGACCATCAGTTTCTTAAGTTCAAACATTTCCACCATTTATATTCTCCTCATTAGAGTGAAATCTATATACATGAAGCTACAACATCAATTTATTCCCACTACACAAACATTAGCACCTTGATATTTAACATCACATAAGTAAACATTCAGTAACTTATTTGCAACTCAATTAATTCCAAACATTGCGCATGCACGGCAATTTAACATGAGTCCGAAACAAATATTTATATCAAAAGAAAATACAGAGCAGGAATAAAATACCACCCTATAAAATTAAAAAGTTTCAACACAAGCAAACGCCAAGATCGGAAATTTACTGTAAGTCCGGACAATGTTGACAGAAATTGTCAACCTCTCTACTTTTAAAAAAGGTCGTACCCAGTGCACAAGGCTCCCGCTTTACGCAGGGTCTGGGAGAGATGAATGTCGGCTAGCCTTACCCCATTTATGAATGTCAACCTCTCTACTTTTAATAAGATAAATTTATTCCGGCATTTCATCCTTTTCTTTTTCCAAGAGATACAAATTCATAATCCAATCTGATGTGCATCCAGACCATTTTGCATTTTCTCCAAGCTTTGCCTCCCAAGAATCATCAAATTTTGAAACTTTCCCTTTTTTTTCTATTTTTCTCAGCAACCAAACAGAGTGCAATCATCTCCCCCAAAGAATCAACAAAATTTGAAATTTTCCTTCTTTTTTTTATCTGGGTAATTCTACTTCTCCTCAACCAACCAAACAGAGCATAATCCCGATCCCAATAACCAAAATCTAAATTTCCAAAACACAATACACATTCGATATTCATAGAAGCTATGGAGGTAAGAAATTTACATATATATATATATATATATATATATATATATATAGAGAGAGAGAGAGAGAGAGGACCTGATGGCAGCTATCGCAAGTGAAGGGCAAGAAATCGATCTGCTGGCACTCCGCGACGTAGCAATGCCTACCCAGATCTGGGAATTCCGGAGTTCCCATCCGAATTTTGCACGCTGGGCAGTAGAAGCTCGCCGCCAATCAACGAAATGAGTTGAAATGTAAAGAATTGACCGGATTATTTGGTCCCGGGATTTGTTGGGAGACGCCGGAATCGGAATTGGAATCGGATTGTCCGAGGCTTGGATTGGATTTTGGCTTCCGCGGATACAGAGAGAGACACCGAATACGCGGGAATCCCAAGGCCACGGCCGCCCTAGTTTTCTTTTCTCCCCAAGAGAAAAGAAAAGACAGAGTCGCTGCAACCTGCAAGCCGCCCCCGAGAAATTTCTTGAGAAACCGAAAAGACGAAGAAAAGTAGAAAACTATAAAATAAAATAAAAAATAATTTTTTTGGGGGTATTTTTTGGAATGTTACACGTTGATTGATATGTGTATGATTAGATTATTACTTAAATATTGATTAACGTGATTATTTTTTATTGATGATACATTATTTGGTTTGACAATTTAGTTTAAAAATTTGATCTCTTTCGCATCATCCTTTATAAAAACCAAAATATGTGGACTGGAGTCTTTGCGGAAGTGAGAAATAAATGTATTTGGATGTGTCTTAGAAGAACTGAAAGCGTTTTTTATAAAAATGCTTTTGAAATCAGTTATTAATAAAAATACATTAAATCCTAGAAAAACAGCTACACTTTGTTTGGAAGAGAAAATTTAAGATTAATAAAGAATTTTAAAATCATGGAACTTCATTATCAAGAATTTATGAATTTTCTTGTTTGGTTAACATAAAAAAACAATAGAATTTGTTATTTTTAAACTTTCAACCACAGGAATTGGGAAATGACACATATTTACAATTTAAACTTGGGAATTGGAGGTTCCAAATTCTAAGTTTTTTTTTGCGGAAATTCTAAATTTCTATGTTTATGAATCCGAACAAAGGAATTGGTGCATGCCAATTTATAAGTTCTAATTTTTGTCAAAATTTTAAGTTTATTTCCATCATCCAAACATAGTGTTAGTTCTTTCTGCAAAAAATACATTATTGATGCTTCTTCCCAACTATATGTGAAATGGTTGATGGCTTATTTATAAGGACTTATATTAAGAGTAATGCTATCCACACATTCTTTTTTACCTATCACACACTCTAAGTTAATTTTTGTCATTTCATGTTTTTCAATTCATTCGATCAAACAACTGAAAATTGAGAAGAGTGTGTTGAAGGTTAAAAGAGGTGTGTGAATAACAACATCCTATATTAACAGCACTACATTTTACTACGCTTATTTGTTTGAATTCTGACATGGGACGGAATAGTTCGAACTTGGGTGCATGAGAAACAATAGTTGTGTCACCTTCTTGCCCACTTATTTGTGACTAATGTATGTTCAGCATATAAACATCATAATTCAAAATAGTCATATTCTTTATTATCATTAAAAGATTATCTATAAAAAATATCTATAAATTTAAAAATCATTTAGTCATACACATATATGGGTAGACCTAACTACCACTGGGTGCCACTTAGTACTACGGTATAGTAATATTTATTTTTCACTTGTAAGTGAGAGGTATTAGGTTCGATTCTCGCCAAAGACAAAGTTTGAATCACATTATTGTTAGCTCATTATGAGGCTAAGCCTACCCCCACCCTCCCCCTTAATGTAGATAATATCGTTTATTCAAAAAAAAAAAAAAATTACCATGGGGTGGCCCAATGGTTAAGAATGAATTCCAGACCTGTATTCCACATGACACGTCCTGGGTTTGATTTCTGGCGCTAATGAATTGCACGATGGTGATTTTAGAGAATATTCAATGGTTAGAGATTGGGACACTTGTCATTCATATGTAAAGTTAGTTAATGATGGTTGTTAGAATTTGTTGCTTATAAATACAAGTGAGATGTAATAACTTATTCATTAAGCAATACAAAGATATTAGATTTCTTCCTTTCTCTCTCTTTCTTTCTCTTCGAATCATCTACTTCTCTCTCTAAGATACATATTCATCAACTATCAGATTGATTAGCTATGGTTAACATGGTATCACTCACAGGAATTGCAAACGCATCCTCAATCATTTGACGTGCTTCTGCTACTCTTCGTCTCTCTCCGCTGAGTTCTTCATCTCAGTTTCTTTGTTTCTCAAGGTTGGTGATTTTTTGTTGCGATTTCTAGGGTTTGCAGTGTTCATATCCTTTGATTTCTAAGGTTTGCAGTGTTCGAAAGGACTTGTGTGATCGTTCTTCTTGCTTCTCTGCATCAATGGTTTTCTGCAATCATGGTGACTGCTTCACAACCACATATTGTTCAATTGTCGATTACTTCACTTATTTCCACTATTTCTACATCTGTGAATGTTCAACTTGATGATTCTAATTACTTGGACTAGCAATTTCAAATGCAATTACTTCTTGATGGTCATGGACTTTCTAGCTTTGTTGATGATATTCATCCATGTCCTGCTAGATTGGTTAATTGCTCTACTAAATCCATTGTTGAAAATATTACCCTTGATTATTCCGCACAAGTTGAGAATGATTTAGACATTGGGATTCTAGCCTTGGATGGCTTACCACCTGAGTATAACACTTTTAGGACAGTTATAAGGGGGCGTGAAAGTGTTATTTTCCTTAAAGACTTCAGGTCTCAACTTCTTGCTGAGGAATTGGTTGTGGAAAACAGTGTGAATTCACAGTTTCTCTTTGCAATGGTAGCTAACAATGTTTCCTCTGAGGCTAAAACCACAAATGTGCAACCCTAGCAAACTGTAACTATGGACTTTCTTCTGGACGATCAACTTACTTCTTAGGAGGATATAAACAGTCTAATCAAAACAAGCAGAAGGGAAGGGGCAGATTCAATCAAGGGTCTAGATTTCCTAGACAGTCTTACAATGTGTATCCCACTTCTGCATCAGGTATTCTTGGCAGTACCCCAAGTGGTCGTTCTTTTTTTACTTCAATCATTTGCCAATTGTGGAATACATTTGGTCATTTTGCTGCTTTTTATGGTACTAAACCATGACCAAGACAAGGCTGACACATTTGTGAAAACCTAAACACTCAACTTGGTTTTGTTTCTACAATGAAAAAGGTCCTAATTACATTGGTGCACCTCAGTTCGCTCATTCTCATACGTTTATGCTCTATCTGCACATATGGTTGGTTACTCCTATGCTTCACAACCATCTACTTCACAGTCTCAAATCCATGCTATGAACACTGTGCTTTCTTAGCCATCTTAGACTGCTACTCCATAGGGAACACCTCAATTTTGGCTTGCTGATTCAGGAGCTACAAATCACATAACTTCTGATCTTCAAAATCTGTCATTGGCATCTCCATATCCTGCAAATGAAACAGTTCAAACTGCCAAGGGTGAAGGTTTGAAAGTGTCTCATATTGGTAGCAGCATTATCAAGCCTTCAGTTCATCCAATTAAACTTAATTCCATTTTATATGTCCCACAACTATCTCATAACTTGCTATCAATTCACAAGATTTGTCTTGATAATAACTGCTGGCTTATTTTCGATGCCTATTGTTTTTGGATCCAGGACAAAGCCACAGGGATGATCTTGTACAAATGACTCTGTAATAATGGTCTCTATCATATCCCCTCACTTGCTCGACCACAAATAAACATTCAACAAGCTATTGCATGCTTTGGAAAACTTGTCAACTCCAATCTTTGGCATAGTCGTTTAGGTCATCCATCTAACCTTAGTGTCTCCTTAATGCTTAGGAATGCTATTATATCTTGTGCTAAAGATGTTTATCCTGCACTATGTAATAGCTGCTTAGAGGGAAAGTTCACTATGCTACCATTTCAATCTAGGTCTCATCAATCCATTGTTCCTTTTGAGGTTGTTCACAGTGACCTATGTGGTCTTACACCATGTAATTCAATGGATGGTTTTAAGTACTATGTCACTCTTATTGATGAGTGTACTAGATTCTGTTAGTTATTTCCTCTTGTTAATAAACCAGACTTCTTAGCTTCCTTCGTTTCATTCTGTGCATTTGAGCAAACTTTATTTTCAACTTCTGTTAAAACCTTACAAACTGATGGAGGTGGAGAATATGTCAACATAAACTACAGACTTTCTTGCAAGACAAGGGGATTATTCATCACAAATCATGTCCTTATACCCTTGAACAAAATGGCTTAGCTGAGAGGAAACATAGACACATCATTGAAATTGCCATAACTTTGCTACAACATGCTAAACTTCATTCCCAATTTTGGTCATTTGCCTGTCAAACTACTGTGTATCTTATCAACATAATGCCATCACCACTTTTACAACACAAATCTCCATTTCAACTCTTGTTTGGCAAATTACCTGTTATATTTCATCTGAAGGTGTTTGGTTGCTCATGTTTTCCATTACTGAGATCTTACAATAGTTCCAAACTGCAAGCTAAAACAACTAGATGTGTGTTTCTTAACTGTGCATCTCAATACAAAGGGTATATCTGTTTTGATGTCTTTAAGCACAAGGTTTATATTTCCAGACATGTGTTTTTCAATGAACTAGAGTTTCCTTATTCTCGTTTGTTAAAACAGTCTACATAATTCTCTGCTTCCACTTTTCCTAGTGTTGCCTTACCACCACCATTAGTCACAACTCTTGACAATGTCCTAGTGTCTTCATCTTTAACACCTATGTCACAACATCCATCACAGACTTTATCAAGTTCTTCTATTATCCCTAGTTCATAACATGTGCCTGTTGCTTCACCCTCCCAGAGTTCTATTACCCCATGATGCCTCTGAGTTCATTACTGGCACTGCAAGTGAATCCTTCTCACTCCATGTGGATCCTTTGTTTGATCTTGAAAGCCTTTAAGTGGTTTTTCCCCTTGTTCACTCAACATGCATCCAATGCAGACTAGAAGTAAATCTGGCATAGTGAAGAAGAAGGCCTTATTGACAGTTCTAGATGATTCTGCAGCTGTAGATTTATCTTTGGTTGAACCTACTATATACAAGACTGCACTTAAGGTTCCAGTTTAGCTTAAAGCAATGTAGGAGGAAATTGAGGCTTTTCATTCTCAGGGTACTTGGTCTCTGGTTTCTTTTCCTTTATAGAAGAACTTAGTTGGATGCAAGTGGATTTTTAAAATCAAGAAGAACTAAGATGGTATTATTGCCAGGCATAAAGCTAGGTTGGTGGCAAAAAGGTCCTGTCAAGAACCAGGATTGGATTATGGAGAGACATTCAGTATAGTGGTTAAACATACTAATGTTAGGTTGGTTTTGGCTTTAGCTGCACATCATGGATGGAAATTGAGGCATCTTGATGTTAAAAATGCATTCTTGCA